TATAGCGTGACTTACGTATTTTGATAATATGTGAAGCCTCTGGTGATTCCCACCCCTAACCACTACCATTAATTCCACTACTACTACTACTGATGATGATAATGATAATACCAACAATAATGAATATAGTATAGTAATGATAATACAATATAACACATTCTGTACTAGGTGTGGCTTATTTGCAAACCAGAAAGTGTCACTGTCACTGACTTGAGTGACATGACTTGAGGACGCTTGATCAGACTTCTCTAAATAAACAAGCAAGGCTTTATATAAATCAATTAGAGTGAAGATGACATAACATATCACACTACTTCTACTTTGTGTGTGTGTGTGTGTGTAGTGAGTCATTCAGTGTGGAGGATGCTGATTATGATGTCATGTGTAGGCATGGATGGACAGACAGATAGATAGATAGATAGATAGATAGATAGATAGATAGATAGATAGATAGACAGATCTATCTATCTATCTATCTATCTATCATAGTTATAAATCCCAACATCACAAATCACAATTTGCCTCACAGGGCTTTACAGCATATGACATCCCTCTGTCCTTTGGACCCTCACAGCAGATAAGGAAAAACTCCCCAAAAAACCCTTTAACGGGGGGGGGCGGGGTAGCAACTCCAGCTCGTCGTCCATCCAGACAAAGTTATCTGTGCGTGCTTTCGCCGTTGTGTCTTCTTTATTTTGGTTTGTAATCACGGCGTGGTAGAGGAAGGCACTTCAGCGGAGGCAGATGGCGTCATGCCGTGGTGTTGCTTTGCAAATTTACACTGCCACCCATTGGCTTGGCGTGCATACTACAGTGTTTCCAGTAGATTTTGCGGTTCCGTGTGAACAGGGATCGTTTCAATAACATCGTCATATAAACGCAGAAGTTTTTTAAAACACAAAGGACAGACTTTTCCATTTGTACTGAAATCGTTTCCGGTCCCAAAGGCTCTGGAGAAGAAGCCGAGTTAGCAAGATGCAATAACAGGACATGAGTGTTAGAGAGAGAGAGAGAAAGAGAGAGAGAGAGAGAGAGAAGGAGAGAAGGTGCCCGGTGTATTATAGGGGGGTCCTCCGGCAGACTAGGCCTAAGTCAGCCTAACTAGGGGCTGGTACAGGGCAAGCCTGAGCCAGCCCTAGCTATAAGCTTTATCAAAGAGGAAAGTCTTAAGTCTAGTCTTAAATGTGGAGACGGTGTCTGCCTCCCGGACCGTAACAGGAAGATGATTCCACAGGAGAGGAGCCTGATAGCTGAAGGCTCTAGCCCCTGATCTACTTTTGGAGACTTTAGGGACCACGAGTAACCCTGCGTTCTCAGAGCGCAGTGTTCTGGTGGGATAATATGGCACTATGAGCTCTCTAAGATATGACGGAGCTTGACCATTTAGAGCTTTAAAAGTTAGGAGTAGGATTTTATATTGAATTCTGGATTTTACAGGGAGCCAGTGCAGAGAAGCTAAAACAGTAGAAATGTGTTCTCGTCTCTTAGTTCCTGTTAGTACACGTGCCGCTGCATTCTGAATTAGCTGGAGAGTTTTTACAGAAAGATAGGTAGGTAGATAGATAGATAGATAGATAGATAGAAACAAAGGGAAAAAACATCAGTACTCTATCTTTCTATCTATCTGAGTATCAGCATGTGTCTGTGTCACCGAGCATCTAAGACTGAGCTGGTTTAATGTCCCTTTCCTTTATTTTTTATATTTATATATATTTACAAATGTAAAGACCAGCTGAAATGAAATTAGATCACTTCCTGTGACTCTCTTTGTTCCAGAGTTTATAAAACTGTGCCGAAGGTTTAATATTTTCTCCCCACCAGCTGATTGTTTTCTGTTTTGTTTTATTGTCTTCTGTTTCTGCTGATTATCAGTGTGATTAACAAGACAACCAATCAGCAGTCAGCAGGTCAAAGGTCAAACAAGTCATCAGAGGTAGAAGAAGTACTGACGTATATTTTACTTGTGTAAAAATAACAATACCACAGTGCAGGAATAATCAGTTGTGAGGAAAAGTCCTGCATTCAAAATAATGTGAAATTATCTGTATCAACATAAACATCTATTTTTTTTCAGAGCTACAAACAGCGCTTTTAAATACTACAGTAAGTGTGTGTGTGTGTGTGTGTGTGTGTGTGTGTCTGTGCGTGTGTACAGAGAGAGTAAAGCTGCCTCCACCCACGCCTCACATCTGGAAACCATCATACACACACTCACACACATGTGATGACATCATGCTAAGCTGTGTGTGATCAGATCAAATTAAGCTGACGATGATGTCATTACAAGGACACAGATTTGTGATCTGAAGTCAATTTTTTTTTTAAGTTTCATATTAATACACCGGCAGTGAAGAAGTACATTTACTCCAGTACCCTACTGTGGGACAATTTCAGGGTACTTGTACTGTATTTGAGTATTTCTATTTTATGCTACTTTAAACTTCTATGCTTCTAAATTTACTGCAAAAGTTAGCCTATCTTAGCACAAAACTGTAAGCGGGGGGGAAATGTCAGCCTGGCTAAGCAATAAGACTGGTCATGGGGAAACTGCTGGCCTAGCTTAGCACAGAGACAGGAAATAGAAGAAACTGTTAGCTTATTTAGCACAGACACTGGAAGCAGGGTGACACCGCTAGCTTAGCTTAGCACAAAGACTGGAAGCAGGAGGACCTGTTATCCTAGCTTAGCTCAAAGACTAGAAGCAGGGGAAACTGTTAGCCTAGCTTAGCACAAAGATTGAAAGCAGGGAGAAACTGTTAGCTTAGTTTAGCACAGACACTGGAAGCAGGGTGACACCGCTAGCTTAGCTTAGCACAAAGACTGGAAGCAGGAGGACCTGTTATCCTAGCTTAGCTCAAAGACTAGAAGCAGGGGAAACTGTTAGCCTAGCTTAGCACAAAGATTGAAAGCAGGGGAATCTGTTAGCCTAGCTTAGCACAAAGACTGGAAGCAGGGGGAATGTTAGCCTAGCTTAGCACAAAGACTGGAAGCAGGGTGAAACTGTTAGCTTTAACAGGGGAACTGTAAGCCTAACTTAGCACAAAGACTGGAAGCAGGGTCAAACTGTTAGCTTTAACAGGGGAACTGTAAGCCTAACTTAGCACAGAGACTGGAAGCAGTGGGACCCCTTAGCCTAACTCAGCACAAGGGCTGGAAGTAGGGGGAACTATTAGCCTAACTTAGCACAAAGACAGGAAATTGGGGGAACTGTTAGCTTAGCATATCACAGCACAGACACTGGAAGCAGGGGAAATCTGCCAGCCTAGCTTAGCACAAACACTGGAAGCAGGGTGAAACTGCCAGCTTAGCTTAGCACAATGACTGTAAGGAGGAGAACCTGTTATCCTAGCTTAGCTCAAAGACTAGAAGCAGGGAGAACTGTTAGCCTAGCTTAGCACAAAGACAGGGAATGGGGGAAAATGTTAGTCTAGCTTAGCACAAAGACTGGAAGCAGGGGGGAACTGTTAGCTTGACTTAGCACAAAGACAGGAAACGAGGGGAACTGTTAGCTTAGCTTAGCACAAAGACTGGAAACAGGGGAACTGTTAGCTTAGTTGGCACAAAGACTGGAAACGGTGGACTGTTAGCCTAGCTTAGCACAAAGACTGGAAGTGGGGGGAACTGTTAGCCTGACTTAGCACAAAGACTGGAAGCGGGGGAACTGTTAGCCTAGTTAGCACAATGACTAGAAGCAGGGGGGAACTGTCTCTTATGTAAGGTTCAGTTTTTATGTAACAGTAACAAAGCAATGAGTGTTACTTTATTAACTGTATTTGGATGGAGAGATGCAGGAAGAGGCATTGTCACAGAAACGGTTAATCTTTTTTCAAAGATTTGTCATGGAAAAAGATTTCAGTGTCAGGAGGTCAGACAGAAACTGGATCAGCTGCTGGAAGTGAAACCAGAAAAAACACAGAGTCTGTGAGAAGGAGAGGAGGATACAGATAGAAAAAGAAATAGAAACAAAATCAGACTCCTCCTCCTCCTCCTCCTCACAGTGATGATCCCAGTCATCTGCGTCACTCACTCTGATGACACAAACACAACAGGAGGTTTCCCTTCTCTCAGCGTGTTGCTGCAGACGTAATGAGCCTCGTTCACGACTTCAAGAAAAGATAAATAATAAAATATCAAGGCTACTGGGTTGTTTGTGTATATAGATCATGGTTCTGATGCAGACTGTTATTCAGCTGACAGGTTGGTGTGCAGCAGGAGGACATTACATAGCACACACACATACAAACTCACAACGATGTGTGGGAGGGAGGCAAACAAAGTGACACTATCATGTAAACACACCATGGTTCATCTCAGCTACTGCAGACACGACACATACACTCTTTAAATGATGTTTGTGTAGCTGTTTCCAGACCTGCTTAGGATTTCTAAACAAATATCAGAGTGGAGAATCTTAACAGGAACAGTTCGACATTTCGGGAAACATTTACAGAGTACAGAACCTGCATCAGTTCACAGAGACAACATTTTCTCTTTCTCTCTCTTTGTAGGCCTGCTCCTCCAAAATGGCCGACACAGAGGTCTCCTTGTCCCCGGCTTTGCGTCCGCTCCACCTTAGCCCCTCCCACTCAGCACCACCTCTTCCACCTGCCTCCTCCACCTCCCCCACCACCTTCTCCTGCCCCTCCTCCCCCTCCAGTGCCTCATCTACCTCCTCTTCTTCATCATCTTCCTCATGCTCTGAAAGCTCCTCTGACTGCCCAGTCCACCACCACCACCACCACCGTCATCATCATCATCACCCCCGCCCCCAGCTGCAACTGCCCCCACCTTCCCACAGCGAGCAGCCTTCCTCCCCCAGCGCCAGCCCCCGCAGCTCCAGCCCTAGCGGGAGCATCGGCAGCACTGGCAGCCTCGGCAGCAGCGCCAGTGAGGGCATCGGCAGCAGTGGCATGTCGAGTACCGGCGACCCGCGAGGCCCCAGCCCCCCGCTGGACGTCATCTCAGAGGATGCCATGGAGATGGACCTGGGGGTCGACCAAGGTAACAGAACCCCATAATATTTTGTCATTGATGTATTGTTGAGACCACACGAATGATTCAGCTGATTCTGAGCACAAAGAGTAGGAGCAGGGGGGAACTGTTAGCTTAGCTTAGCACAAAGACTAGAAACAGGGGACTGTTAGCCTAGCTTAGCACAAAGACTAGAAGCGGGGGGAACTGTGAGCCTAGCTTAGCACAAAGACTAGAAGCAGGGAAAAACTGTTAGCCTAGCTTAGCACAAAGATTGGAAACTAGGGAAACTGGGTCTAGCTTAGCACAAACATTGAAAGCAGGGTCAAACTGCTAGCCTAGCTTATGCACACAATGTATTTTGAAAAATCCACTTAGTCCTGATCCAGAAGTTTGGTACCAGATTGGTACTCTGCACAGAGGTGAGCCCAGTTGTTTCTAGTTTTGTTTAAATTAATATTGAGTGATCACAAACTAGCTGGAGATTACACCGACATCAGGAAAGCCGTCCTTGACTGCACGTTCAGTAGGCATTAGGAAACAGACTGAATATTTGTGAGAAGTGCAGTGTGACCACACCTTTTAGTCTGGCCCCTCAACTGGGACCAATATGTCTTGGGGGACCTAAGGCCCGTTTCCACCGCAGGAAATTCGGGGTAATTTTACAGGGCCGGGGTCGTTGGTGCGTGTCTCCACTGCAGGAACCACCCCGAAGGACAGAGTTCCAGAATTTTTACAGGGGCTAAACAAGTCCCTGCCCCGGAGTAGGTACTCAGAACGGCCACGAAAAACTCCTGGGTGGGGCTTGGGGTTTACTTGGTGCTGATTGGATAAACTCAAGGCGGGATGTGACGTCAATAGAAAGCGACAAAATAGCCGCGTCGCCCCGGTCAAAATGGTCGCACAACGATTACGCCACATCCAGAGCCCGGTAACTTTACAGGAATCTTCCTACTCCGCCCTCTCAGTGGAGACACGGCGGTTGAGAGGGCCGAGCGAGAGGACGTTCCTGTAAAGTTCCTGCCCCCCAAATAGTAACAGGAACTTCTTCAGTGGAAATGGGCCTCAAGATAGCACAGCTCCCAGGACCACAGGGACACGAAACCCTTCCACTCTGTGAGGTGGTGATTCTCAGGAGGACATTAAAGGAAAAGTGCCACAGATTCAGTCTTTTTTAAATTTTTGTAGCAGCTGTAACAGCTGAGTCATCAATTTGTTGTTTGCAGTTTCTAAGTTTTTCTTTCAAGTTTTACAGATGTTATGGTTACGATCAGTCTGACCTCTTCTTGATTTCTGCCTCCAGTGATCGACCCAGAAGTTGCTCTGAAGGCTTGCCAGGAAGTCCTTCTCAAGGTCAAGCTGCAAAACAGAGAAGTGCCTGAACAGCAACAAGTTGACAACAAACAACAACAACAGGACGATCAACAACAACAACAACAACAACATTACACAGACTCAACAGAGTGCTCCAGCCCACAGTGGCACATCAGCCCGGACACCAGCTCCATCAAAGAGGAGGAAGAGGAGGAAGAGGAGGAAGAGGTGGAGGGGAGTTGTAGGAAGGATGGGGGTAAACAAGGCGATACCTACCAGCAAAACCCACCTCCTGCAGCACGGCCAGAGTCCTCCTCACTGCTGTCGGCATCATCATCATCATCATCATCTAAACAGTCGTGGCTGCTGCGCCTGTTCGAGTCCAAGCTGTTTGACGTTTCCATGGCAATCTCCTACCTGTACAAGTCAAAGGAGCCAGGGGTGCAGGTGTACATTGGAAACCGCCTCTTTAGCTTCCCCGACAGCGAGGTGGACTTCTACCTGCCGCAGCTGCTCAACATGTATGTGCACATGGACACCGAGGTGGGAGATGCCATCAGACCGTACCTGGTGAGTCCCCAGGCACCTGGTTTAGAAAACAACAGAGGTTTTATGGTCTCAACAGAAGGCATCATTTATTTCTGTCTGGTTCTATGTATGGATCATTTCACCAAGGATCCATTTAAATGATTTTATATAGAAATCACGTGAAGCTTGTTAGCTAGCTAACCTTTGTATCAACTCAGGGTGTTAGTTTATTAACAAAGCTATGGAACACTTGGGTAAGTGTGTTCAGAGCTAAATCCCACCCATCTCTCTACTGTTTATCACTGCCTCCATGATACTTTGCAACTTTGCCCAGACTTACGAAGTCATGCCCCCACCGTCAGGCTAGACCTGGGAGGGAAGCTCCTGGTGGTCTGACCCTCACCAGAAACAACAAGCCATCACCATGTGGAGGTTTGGTGCGTTAGCAGTCAGGTGTCAAACATTGTGATGCTTTAGCATTCTCACCCATGTCGAGGGAAATAGTGCTTGGGCCATAAAATGCCATGCCACCTTTAATAACAGCTCAACTGACAGGTATCAGTAGACCAGAAGGACCACAACTTTTCTAGTTTGGAAGGAGTTTACAAAGACCATGCAGAAAAACATTCGGTCGGCCTCTAGGAGTTCTGACAAATCATCAGATGACTCAGAAGAGAGAGGCGGGACTTTCTCTCTCCAGGCTGAACTGCTGACTCTGACCGTGGACAGTGTAGGACGGTGAAAAAAACGGGATTCCTAAACCCGACCAACATATTTTCAGTGGGGGCAGAATGATAAGATGATTTAGGGGGAATCCTTGCCCATCTCACTGGTGGAGGTCACTGAGGCAGTTTAACAGCAGGCCGATGGTTCCCATTCTTTTTAAAGCATGGCCAAAAGATGCATTCTGTTGTCAGGGTATAGCACTACCCTGCCTCCTTTGGAAAGTGTAAGCCATGCTGCTGGAGAGTAGGCCGTGGTCAATTTTTAAACCTTTATTGGGGACCCTTGCAAAGATGCTGGATGGGCAGCAGATCCTCATACAGTAGTTTAGTAAACATCTAACGAATTAGCGCCCCTAGTTGTTAGGATAGTTTTAGGAAAAGAAACATAGTAGGGATTTGTCACGTAATGTACTTAATGCAAAGTACCTTACTTACTTAACATAACTTGACGACATACCTTAAGGTGCTGACACACCAAACCGACATCAAAGAACTAGCGGCGATGAAAGCCAACTGTTGAGTCACCTCACGTCGCCTCACGTCGCCCTGTGTCAGTTGCATTTGAACACACTACAAAGACTACATCCGATGGCCAAGTAGCACATACGTTCTCCGCCTGCGTGAGAGAAAATAACGCAAAAAGAGCACTGCAGCACCTCCATGGACTATTACATCCAGACGGTCCCGGTGTTTCCTCCGCAGGCTCCACTTCACTCAGCTGCTTCTTCCCACTTTAACCTGAATAACAAACTGGGGCTCGGTGCTCCGGTTGGATCCAAATGGAGAGCCGGGGCTAGGCTGTGCTTCTGTGCTTCCCTCCGGTCATGCTGCGGCTATTCAGGTTAAAGTGGGAAGAAGCAGCGGGGTTATCGGGCAGCTGAGTGAAGTGGAGCCTGAGGAGGAAGCACCATTTAGCCCTGGTTTCACTACAGGCAGATTCACTCGCTACAGGGGCGAGGAAATAAAACCTGAACAGCCAATCAGAGTGATCTCTCTCACCGACAAGCTCCGCCGCTGATTCAACATGCTCAATCAGCCGAAAAGCCGCCAACGCAAAAGTGCCGATGGTGCAGGACACACTGCAAAAACTAGGGCGACAGAAGCTCACCGATGCTCCAACTTTGACCGACGGCCAACCGTCGGCTTGGTGTGTCAGGGCCTTTAAGATAACTCAGCGTTCACTTGATTTCACACAGGACACAGACACCAGTCTCCTGGGGGAAAGTCCTGTGTTTGTTTGACCCATCCACCCCACCCTGCCTCCTTACACAAATGTTTGCTCTTTGTACACTTCCTTCTTTACTCTCATCAGCACATTGGTCATGTGAACACAGCCTTCACAATTTGTGGGTTATATATAATTTACGAGCTCACGGACTACATGGGTTATATACAAATTCTGGTTCCTTACTTTATGTAGGTATACGTGCAAACAGTGCATGAGAACATGGGTCATAGGACCACAAAGTACATCTGAATGTATTTTGTTGAAAGGACCCAGATGAGGCCATCAAACGCTTGCTGGACACCTCCCATTGGAGGTATTTCGGACACTTCTTACTGAGAGAGGCACACCCAGAACATGCTGCAGGGATTATATATCTCATCTGGTCTGGGAATGCCTCAGGAGCTACCAGGACAAGCTGGAGGATGAGGCTGAAGCCCCCAGTCTTAAAGAAATAAGTTTTTATTTTTTGGCCCTGTTGCCCAGCCCTCTTTGAAAACTTAAGACCCTCTCCCACTGGACATAAAAACAACTAACACTCACTAATATCTGGCTTTTATCTTTAGTCCCAGGACAAATGACTCCGCAGTAGTCATGGGTATATATGGGCCCCAACTCTGATCAGCTTCAGTCGGCAGTAATAAAATTACAACACCTGGCTGAACATGCTAATTTCTGTCAGTTGTGTGCCACCACAAATTCCATGTCCCTGTCCAAGCAGCGCTCGAACCTCCAAATTAGTCGGCACAGATTTTGAAAGAGAGATATAAAAAGGAGGTAACCACCAAAATATTTTTACTGGCCTCCATGCTGCTTTCTACTGTTTACTAGCCTGTCTTCTGGTGCGTCATTTTTAATGTCACAAACGTGCTGGAAAACAACAGAAAGGCATACCTGTTTACTGCAGAGCTGTGTACATGACTCTGGTCTACTGGCAATGGGAAATGAGTCTATCAGCTGTTTTTAGTGGGTTTTACTGCATTTTAAAAACCTGCATATATGTACTGATTTGGGTGGAAAAGGGTATTATTTAACAAATGAATAATGTAATATTTAATCTTGACATACAATCTAAAGTCTTTGTCTCTCTGTCCGTCCCTCAGATCCACCGTTGCAGAGGTGAGATAACCTTCTCACTGCTGACGGCTTGGCTGCTGGGTGCTTACTCCTCTGACATGCACATCTCCACCCAGCGTCACTCCAGAGGCACCAAACTCCGAAAACTCATCCTGTCTGATGAGCTCAAACCTTCAGCTCCTCCACCAGATGCTCACAGAGCAGTTTCAGCTTCTGTTTCTGAAAGCCCGGTGTCCTCGCCAACCCACCGTCGCTGCCACCGAAGGCACAACAGCAGCAACATGGAATCTGGCCCCTCCTACTCTACGGCTGGCCCAGACAGCCCTGTACAGGGAGAGGTGGAAGTGTTTGTTTCTCCATCCAGGAGGACCCACCAGAGATCCAAGTCAGACGCCACCATGGCAAGCAGCGGGCCCGGCTCCGGCCTCCGACGGACAGGAAGTAACCCGAAAGTGGAGGCTGTCCATGAGGAGGTAAGGACCAGACTTTTACTTGACACCTCAAAGGGAAGAGCTGGTATTAGAACGATGTTGTGTCCATCAGAGGGTTTGGTCTGTGGATTTGAGATTTTTGAGTACTTCTTTATTATCTGACACTTGACAATAAAAGTAAATTTGATAATCGATAATGACATTTTATTTATCTTAAATAATACTGTGTGTATAAATAAAACACACAGAACAAAACTGAATTGAAGATGGATTGAAAACGATTAAAGTCAGGAAAGCACTGCCAATAATAAAACATGTATTGCTAGTTTCAGTGGAAAAAAAAGTTAAAAAATATATTTATTATGAATAAAGAATTTACTTTTAAAAAGTCCAAAAATCCCATGTACTTGTATGTGTTTTACATTTGAGTCGTTCACATACAGCCTGCTGATATCAGTCAGCTTCAGGGTTGCTCTGAAGTGTGACAGTTCAGATGCTGCTGGTGGGATTTTCACAGAACCTGGAAGGAAAATCTGTAATTATCTATGTGGGGTGTGGTGTCGTTTTTCTTTGCAGCCTCCTTTTGTTCGCCTCCTTTATCTTGTCGTACTTTCTGTTCACCTCTTTGTGTTCTTTGTCACATTGTGTTCCCCTTCTTTACGACGTCACTTGTGTCAGAAACAGAACCTGTTAGTTACACGTGATAAGACTCCTCAGCTGTCTGCATTGATCACCTTTTTCAACTAGAGCTCCTGCACACCTGAGTGCTGTAATCCCCTCAGGATGAATTGTAATCACCGTAGGGAGTGCCATCATCAGATATAGGAATGAGAATGAGAACCGGTTCCAAATTTTATCGATCCATCAGAATTGTACATTTCCGAGCTTATAATGTCCTTTTGTCAATGCCGATATGTTTTTCTGACAGTTGCAAAAGATGTCAAACTTATGTGCAGTGTCTCTAAAAATGTAGTACATTACTCATTACTATTTCTTTACTTATTACTCCCTGCCAACAGAAATTTGTCACACCACTCATTACATCACTTTACCCCATAAAATTGGTAATTGAGTATCTCCCCAAAATTCAGATGTGCGCCTCTGTGTGAATTTTAGGGGAATCGCTGTTAAGTGTAGCTAAGGCTAGATAGCTTCTATTTACCTGGAGGTCTTCAATTCCCTGTGATCAGTATTTTTCCAAGGCTCTGCCTGAAAGACAGAGTCACTCATGGAGCAGCATTTCATCTACAGTGTATCCAACCACAAGCCTCATCACTTCTTGTAGCTGCAGCTGTCCACAATTAAAATCCAGTTTTGGTTGTTTAGCCAGCGTAGGGCTACCTACGCGACCTATGCGGCTGAGGAGGGCTCACCTTTGGTGGGGTGTATTTTCTGGAGCTTCACGTTGTTGTGCTGTCAGTTGTAGTAGCCGAGGTGTTTCAGACCGGAGGTTTAAGGACGAGTTGTAGTTCTACTACCTGCAGCAACAGTGTTCTTATCATCTTTCCTCTCAGCAAAATTAAAGTAATTTCCAGCTGTTAAGGTAAGTGTTTCTAACTAGCTTGCTGCTTTATGATGTGTTTGAGCAGCACAACGATTACTAAAATGAGTCCACTGATGTGATGTTGTATTTCAAGTCAGTAGTGATGTGATAACAAAAGTAATGTTGTAAGTAGGGCTTCCACAAACGATTATTTTGATAATTGACTAGTCACTGATTATTTTTGCGATTAGTCGACCAGCATGCAGCTGCTCTTATATAACCATCATTAGCTTCCAGCTTGAAGTGTTTAAGGTATGTGCTAACTAAAAATAAAGACAGCTTTGCAGCTTGTAGCAGCATTTCTGACATTTTTTAATGTAATGTGTGCAAAATAAAATGAAGGCACAACTCTGGCCTTTACCATTTTTAGCTGTAAATGTTTAGTGCATTGTAAAATGGAACCAAAAACTATGCACTATGTATAGTTGCACTATGAATACTATGCACTAGTTAGAATACAAAATATCAACAAAAAGAAATACTTGTAAACATATTTCACTCTTCTCAGTCATCATACAAATCTTTAAATGTAGCATAGATTGCAAACATCTGAGTTAAATAAGGAAAACAAGGCACTGGGCTAAAGAAAACAAAAATAAATACTTGTTTAGGTTTTTCTTTGCTTCATTTGTCTCTGGCATCAAACATAGCTACATTTTAAAATATTGAATAGTGCTACAAAATCAAATGAGGTAGGCACCTGAAACTAAAAAGAAATTATCCACAAAAATTAAGTGTTGGTCTCACTCAAATATAACAAAAGTGCATTTTGTGCTCAGTGCTCACAACTGTATTCAACTTTACTACACTCTGACTCTACATAATCCCAATCTACACAAGGCTCTTGCCTTCAGAGTTCATAGCCAAGAAAGTTAGCATTTCTACATGTTCTGGAGAAAGGCTTGCTCTCTTTTGGGAGCAGATGTTCCCTGCTGCGGAAAAGATCTGCTCTGATGGGGTGGAGGTTGCAGGGATGCACAGAAAAGATTTCGCTAGCTTTGACAGCGTGGGGAAACGCCCCTCATTTTCGCTCCACCATTTGAGAGGATCATCCTTTTTAGAGACTGTGGCCTCTCCAAAGTACAGCTGAACTTCACTTCTCACAACTTGGACCTTTTTGTCCTCCTGGGATGCTTCTTCCTCATTTTCACTCTGACTGTCTGTGTCAGACTGAAGGAGGGTGTCCAGAGCAGTCTTTTCAACTCTACCTGAACCATTGGCCCTTTGCAGTTGTGCACGCTCATGTGTCCCAGCATTTGCTTCTTTGACAGCAAGCACTTCAACAGTCCCCTGCACTCTGATGCCATCTTCAGGAGCCAAAAACTTCAGCTTTCTGTATCTGGGGTCCAAGGCAGCTGCGAGAATAACTGGGTTTTCTTTCTCTGCTGAGAGCAAATACTCCCCCATCTCTGTGTTATCCCTTTTTCTGCACTTGCGATGAAAGATTTTCCTGAGCTCATCTCAAATTGGCTTTGGTGTACAAACCGTGTCAGCCCTTTGACCACCTGTGGAAGACCTGAAATGGTTGTGTACTGCTGTCCACTAAGTTAAACAGTAGCAGTCTCAAAAGGTGCTAACCCTTGCTTAAGTTCTTCAAGCAGCGCCCACTGCTCTGGCTTCAAGGCGAAGTAGTGCTTCCCCCATCAGGATCTGAAAGAGTGGCAGTGAGAGGCCAGCGCTGTTCCAGGAGTCTCTCTATCATGTGGAATGTACTGTTCCATCTTGTACTGACATCTTGGATCAGTGTATTTTTCTTCACATTCATTTGCTCCTGTTTCATCTTTAGCTTTGTACTAGCCAGCTCTCTTCTCTTGAAGTGCTCTACTAGCTGCCTAGCAGCACCTAGTGCTCTGCTGATGGTGGTTTCTTTGAGAGCAGTGTTGACTATGAGCTGGATTGTGTGTCCAGCACAGTGGATAGAGGCCCATCCATGTTTTTCTTCAAGCAGTCGCATTGCTGCCACCATATTGGACCCACTGTCATGAACTACTGCTTTTATTTTGGCAGGCAAGATGTCAAACTTTGTTAACACCTCTTCCATTCATGTCATTATATTTGCACCAGTATGCCTCTCCTCAAGAGGCATGGTGGCAAGGTTGAAGCTCTTCATCTTCCAATCTTCACTCAGGAAATGGCAAGACACACCAAGGTACGCCTCTGTTGCACGACTGGTCCACACATCAGCAGTCAGGGTTAGGAAACTTTTGACAGCTCCAAGGGTCTGCTTTACCTTAAAGATATGAGATGATTTGGAACAATAGTAAGCATTAGGAAGAAAATTATATATATTTTTTCACTGTTAACAATATTTGTCAGTTTACGCATCAAGATTTAAATTTATTTACCAATTCAATAATTCCGTTGTTATATCAAATACAGTAAAGTAGGTTAAACAATAAACATTCAACATATCAGTAAAAAAATCTTTACATTACATTGTTCTTGTTTTATGAGAGAGAGAGAGAGAGAGAGAGACCTTCTCAAAGGTTGTATCATATTTCTTTTCCATCATTGTGGTGAAGTAGGATCGGCCTGGTAGGTAGTTATCATGGTATTCTGGGTTGAACTGCTTGATCATTTCTTTGAAACCTTGATTGCCAACCATGGACAGGGGTCTCATGTCCGTCACCAACATGTTCAAGATTGCTTCAGTCAGGACATTTGCTTGCCGAGGTGTGCATGTTGTTGGCTTGGTAACAAAGTCGTCCATTGAAGAGGAACGTATTTTTTTAGCACTGTAACGTAGCGTTATAAAACATTAGCATTATCACATTTCCGATTCAAACATGACATCGCTGTTATAACGGTACAGCAAACACATAACATATGTGTGCTAAGGCTAATGAAATCGTCATCGTTAATGTTAACGTTTACAGCTATAAGTAAGTAGCTCACTGTTGACGTTAATGTTAGCAGCTAACTAGCCAATTAGCTTACCGAGACGACTGTCCCTCTTCGTCAGAAATTGAATCAGCCACAACGTGCTTCCTTTTCAGATGCTCGTGCATCGCCGTCATACTGTTATGGAAGGCAAGTTCTGCCTTGCAGATTTTGCATTGCACATTGTTCTCTTTTATTCTGGTAAAATGCTCCCAAACTTTCGAGCTCCGTTGCCGACTAGCCATGATACTGTTTGGGCATAACTTTTCCGGTGACATCACGGCTGACCCCAACTACCACTACTGCGCATGTGCGTCAGGGACAGAAAGGCAGACAAGACAGCGGAAGGTACAGCGGCAGTTTTGAGAGAAAAACAAAGCTTCAAAAAATAAACGATGCCATTGATTATTAAATTAGTCGCCGACGATTTTGATAGTCGACGTAATTGTGACTAGTCGACTAATCTTGGCAGCCCTAGTTGGAAGGAGTTGTTTGGTTTTGGAGTAATTGTAATATTATTACTGAAATTTCAATAGTAATTTGTTACGCTACTCGTTACTGGAAAATGTAATATCATTACTGTAAGGCATTAGTGCCCAACACTGCTCATGCATCAACG